ACAAATACAAGATTTGTTAAGGTGTCGATCAGAGATCTACAAATACAAGATTTGTTAAGGTGTCGATCAGAGATCTACAAATACAAGATTTGTTAAGGTGTCGATCAGAGATCTATAAATACAAGATTTGTTAAGGTGTCAGTATATATTTATCATATAGTAAACCGTGAGGTCATGCACTTATCTTAACACATATCATCATTTTTACGTTAAATAAAAATAACGGAAATAAATACACACCAATTCATACAAAAGTTGTGCGATTTCTTTAGAGACGCTGGATTTCTATGTTTGTCAATACCTGGTTGATCAAAATACATGTCAGCCGAGCAGATCACGCCATCTGGATATTTTATCATTAAATATTTCGCAAGTAAACTCTTCCTTGTCCCGGGCGGACCTCTAATGATTACAAATATTCTTGCATGTTTAACAAGATATTCTATTGATGCACTATCCAAAAGGAAAGAAAACTTGAATATTTCCTCTGGCTCAGGTTTTTCATAAATTTCTGGCTTAGAGGCCATCTCGAATAGTCTGGAAAAAAAAAAATATATATATATATATACAAAACAAATACAGCATTATAATAAAACTGAAAAATCAAAGTTATTATTCCATTACCAGTCCTCGTTACCTTTACAAGTCATAACGGAATTACTTATATATTGTTATTTAATGTTTTAATATAATTTAGTTTTCAGAGCAATGTTTGGTTATCAAGGGAATAAAAATACCATCTAGTTTGAAGTAAGTTTTGTGGTCACGTGATCTCCAGACGAATGCGTATCTCATTTAGTCCTCGGTACAATTTATATTTATTTATCTTTAATAACGGGTATAATGATAAATATACAGAAAGGGAGAAACAGGGTTGAAAAATTGGTTTTAGAGAAGAAGAAGAACGGGAAACGAATTCCTCTTAACGTCTAATAAATCAGTGGTTTCTAAACTCTTTCAGTCTGAAGCTCCCTTGATGTGAATAAAAAAGGTTTGAGGCCCCCTATAAAAATGCTTTGAAAATGCTACCCCCACTACTTTAGCATGGTGATTGAAAAAAAAAAAACAGTGTCGTAGTAAAAACAATAACATCTCCTTTCGACATACTGTATCATTTAATTAATTCAACATAATTCATATCGGCTTATTGTTTATTTAGAATTAAAATTAATTCATCATCTTTGTTTTCAGTCCATTTTTTTTTTTTTTGGCGCCGCGGCTTCCACTTTGGGAAACACTGTACTAAAACAACTTTGCACTTAACTATAAACAAGCAAGCATACAAACGTTTGAACATGGATTTTAAAACTGTTAGATATCTGTTGATTGGATTAAGAACATTTGTCTCTATCCTTACATTCTAAAGTTGCGCACACTGGTGGAAGCCTCCACAATTTATTTAAATATTACAAAGACGTAAAACAGCGTCACCTAGTTGAGTAAATATGAATAACAAAAATATGATGTAAAACATAAAAACAGGTACTGGTAGCCTCGCCCCCCCCTACCCTAACCAGTTTACCCCCCCCCCCCAAGCCCATGCTTCACAGCCTCCAAACAACACCTGCCACCTAACAGAACTCCACAACCCATAATACAATCCAAACAACTACAATAGACCAAGAAACGCAGACTACGCCCACATCGGAAACAGAATTACAAGACAAGACTACTAAAACAACTGTAACAAGAAGGAGCAAAGGTACTCGGACCCATCCACCAGTTCGCAACCCATAACTCTCGAAGTATCACAACGAACCAGCAACCTCTCTGATCTTACACCCTTCCCGCCCCTCAGCCCAGATCCACATTCCAACCCATCCTCGTCAAACCCACCCGATGCTTTTGTTACCGACATCTCTCCCAACCACGACATACCCGATGAATCCTTACCAATTTTCCGCCCACCTACCAATGACAAAACCCTATCTGAACTCAAACCCTAGTAAATTCCTGACGAACATTCGAAGAATCAGAGACTCCACGAAGGACTAATTAACCCCCAGCACCAGCCTTCATTTTGCCCCTCCAACCAATTTGTTCTCGCTAATTGAGCACTGGTAACGGACTGGCACCTTACCAGTGAAAGTGGGTTTTTTATGGGTACTCCCATTTTCCCCCACATCAAACTCTTGGCATAGGATTTATAGATCCCCACCGTCCCGGAGGACCATTTGTCTGTTTGTGATTAGCAGTAATACCAGTATATTGGTTTAGTTTATTCACTTATCCGTTCCCATCAAGCTTTCAACTACATCTATTTTACGACTTCTACCAATCAGACTCATATTACCTCTTATCCAAGAAGGAAGATTGCTGAATCTTCGAGCACCCCGGGTGATTTATTATTGTAAGATAACCGCCAGGAACACCACACACCACCATTCCCGGTTTTAATCATTTTGTGTCCAGACTTCTTGAACCAACATGTTTTTCTGACATCATGTGAAAAGATCGTTAACGAAGGCTTACTTAAATCGCCAGGATATCTATCCGTTGTCGACTGTTTCGTTCAGGCTTAAAAAGTCTGAAAATGTCTAAAGTTGCTCCGTTTCCTCATTTTATTTTACACTTTAGGCTAAAACTTTCAATTAATTTAATAAAACTAAACATTTAACTGCCATAGTTCTTAGTACCAGACGTCAAATAATTAGAATATGAGAAGCAAAAAACGACAAAATAATAAAAAATTGCCTACATCCACCCATTAAACAATTGATAATTAGTTATTAATAAAAACTATTATTCAGCTACCAGTTTTAAACAATGGGTAATTATTAATTAATAAAAGAATAACTCACAAATAATTAGATTGTT